GCTAGAAGAAGACAAAACACGCTTTTTCCTCCTCCGACCTCGAGTACTCGGTATATAGTTTCTTCTAGTGTCCTTGCTCATTTTTCTGTCTGCTGTGTAAACAATCCACACAACGGGGGAGATGAGAATGAAAGCTTCAGAGTTGGTGTTTGAAGAAAATCTGATGCCTGCTACGAGAGACCTTGCTAAGAGTCTGCTTGAAATTAATTTTCTCAGCAAATCAGTGATTTCATGGTCTCAGATTTCTAACTGTGCTAAGTGCTGCCCTGTAAAGGTCCTGGTGTATGAAGAAGGGTCGCCTCACCACTTTTGCACAACCACTGTATCTTAAAGTGGGATTGGAGGGGGGCAGGATGGGACACCCGACAACAGGAGGGAGGATATAGTTTGAGAACTGTTTGGGATTTTTGTTTGTTTTGAAGGTCTTTAATTTTCTTTGGTATTTCCTTAGCTAAAGAAAGTTTTAGTGCTGGACTGAGCTGACGCTCATGTGAAACTTCCACTGCATCAGGCCCGTGGGTGAGATCCGCTGTTGGACCTGGAAGCTGTTGCTGTCACTGTCCCCAGAGGGAAGCTAACTGAGCTCAGTAGATTTTCTTAATCCTAATGGAAGCTCTCTTTCTAGTTGGGAAAGAAATCTTCTCTGTTGGGACAAGTCCCTGACCTATTTTAGAGAGTCTTGTCTGTACAGAGTGGTTGCTATTTTCTTAGCATGAGAAGCTGTCTTGCAGTTGCTTCTTCTTAATTTTATTTCAATCATTTTGTTCTTTTAATGATAAAGTAACGGAATGTGAAGGAGAGGAGGCTGAAGCTCTCTATTTTGTAGTTGTGGGTAAGGAATGGCAGAGACAAATAATCTGGTGACAAAAAGAAAACTATTAAGTAATTTAAAAACTTCCAGCTGCTATAGTAACAGCAACACATTTGCCAGGTGTCAAAAAGCATATTTTTAATCCTTCTATTTTAAGTTTCAAGCTATTGAAGCGAAGCCTGTCTAGGTGTGGCGGTCTTAATAGCTGCCTCGGCCCGTAGCGACTTGGGTAGCCTAGGAAAGAACCGTGTAGTATCGCTGTTGGAGGTACTGTTGATTAAATTTATAGAAAAAGCTTTTCCCAGATGTTCTTACGGGGCAGGAGCCCATCCTGAAGATTTGTGTTTCTCTCCGAGACACTTTTATGATGTCCTGTTGGGTATACGGCGCGTGCTCTTCTGTGTGTTAGATTGATTTGAGGTACCGTGACATTTTTCTTGGAAGGTGTATGAGCCAAAAGAGCAGAATGAAAAAGTTCTGGAGACTGGGCTTTCAGCCTAATACCAATTCCGTGTGGCTGTGCTAGTCCTTACGGCCGGGATGCTTACTGGGGAGCGGGAGTGAGATGTCCGCAGAACCATCCCATCCCCTGTTGATGCTGTAAATGAGTTTAAGTTGAAGTGATAGATGTAGGGTGGAAGAGACTGTTTTTCTAGTTAAACATTTTAAACTGTCAGAGGAGGTGAAAAATGCATCGTACTCTTTCCTGTGGCCTTTTCCTCCGAAGAGTCGGTCATGCAAGAAAAGGAGGGAAAAAGTGCCCGGCATGGATCAAGCCCTTAGCTTTTCAATGTTGGTTTGTTTTTATTGTAAGATAAACCTTTGGTGTTTTATTGTTACGAAGTTTAAGCCTGGCCTAGAGGTGCTGATCTTTAGTAGAAACAGCTGCAGACTGAGTGTCCCCTGGTCAGGTGGGAGGCTCTTTGAAGCAACATGTTGCCTCTTTAAAAGGAAATTGAGCATGTGAGAACTTAAACCTGTAAAACTCATCAACAGCTCTGCCATTGTTTATCTCTGGCGTAACTTTATATAGAATTAAAGTGAAACGCATTACTTTGCTTCCAAGGCAAGATGGTTTAGCTCCCCCGTGGTCCTGGAGACGCAGGAAACGACCACATCACCACAAAGACTTTCTAGTGGAATGAAGATGAGTGACAAACTATCCACAGAACTAGGTTCTTCCCCAGATGGGATGAGAAATTAAGTGGAGCTAAAGCTTCCGGTTTGAAGTTAAAACCAACGCTTTAATATTAAAACCAAGTAGAAAAGACCAAATGCTGTATAGGCACGGTTGATGTCAGCATTTCGTGTTGACTGGGTGTTGGGATCTTTTTTGGCTTTGTTGCTCAAGTCGCCTTATGTACAGAAAACAAAACCACCATTAGCTGTCAGATCTCCTCCTTTACTTCTCTGTGGCGTTGTCGTTAAAGCAATGCCCTGGATATCTCAGTCATCTTTTTAAACTAACCGGCCACGGGACTTCCCATCCTGCTGGAGCAGGGTGCAGTGATAGCCTCTAAAATGGCATTTTCATGAAAAAGCAGATTCACTGCTTCAGAAAACAGCTTTCTTGGGAAAGACAGGACTCAGGGCGGTCATGCTGGACCACATCTGTTTAACGCTAGTGTTGGGTATGAGCATGGGGGAATTCCTAGGCTTTGTTTTAGGCTTAGGCTGAATTGCAGTTGGCACGAAGACCAAATTTTTCACCTTTAAGCGCATCCTGTAGCTTCCCCCATGGCCAACAGGAAGCAGCATCGACGGCATCTGTGTGGAGCCCTTACAAATGGGGGTGTAATGTGAGAGAGCATCTGAAGGAGGTGAAGAGAATACAAGATAACGGATTTTTCTGGGCGTAGATGGAAAGAAACTGTATTAACAATAGCTGCTGCCTTAGTGCAGGCGTTTTGTAAGACAAGAAAGTAAGGAGTTCGCCACCACATTGGTGAGAAGAATGTGGGTTTGCTTGGTAACATGGAAAATGTGGTGACATTAGAAACTGCCTGGGCTCTGCATCGAGATGATGCAGAATTTGTCATCCTGTAAATCATTTCTCATTGATTAGCTAAACTGTTTGGATTGGCAGAAGGGATCTCCTCTTGGACAGGAAGCGTAGGACCAGTATCGCTCCCTGCGTGACAGGCCTCCTGAACCGGACAGTTCAAAACGCCTGGTGCTGTCTGAAGGGAAAGTAATTGCCTCCAGAAAGTCCTCTTCAGAGCTACAGTACAACAGGCCGAAACAAAAAGGCAACCTAACTGTGTACGGTAGGAAAAGACTGGCAGAGGGAGGCAGGTCAGAGGCCAAACAGTTGTCCGTTGGATGAATTCTGGAAGATAGTAATTATCCTTAATAGCATAAACATTCTGGGAGAGCCAACGGCAGCTGTATTATAGCAGAGGTACAGGAGGAAGGCCCAACTTGGGGAGGTGGAGTGGAGGAATTAGCACGGATGAACTGCTGCTCTTGGTAACGCATGATGTCTCTTCCAGTCTGCATATAAATGCCGGTCAGTGACAGGGGATGAGTAGTTAGCTGTTTATACGAGATGCTTCAAGTGTATCTTACTGTCTGAAATGTAGAAAAAGCCTGAAGCTCTGACCAGATGACTGAGGAACTGAGATTTTTTTTTCCCTTCGCTGTGCAAATGATTAGAGTGAAAACCTGACCTTCTGCGAAATGCTCGGCTTTTAAAATGTCTGGGGGAGTTATATCAGGACCACTTGGCAGGCGGTCAAAGTTCTTCCCTGCAGTTGCATGTTTTGTAAAGCCTGCTCCAAAGTTGTAATGACCTGGTAAAGTAGTTAACCTCTGTCACAACTGAAAATCTGTAGTAAAATGAAAAGAGTTTTCAAAAGCAGCTCTGGTTTCCAGCCCTCCGTAAATAAGGACAGCGAGGTCCTAACGGGAGAGTAAACCTAAGGTGGTTTGCTCAGATCTGTTTGGTCATCTCTCTTCTAACATTCAAGGGTTTTTAATCCATGAAAAATGTGAGGCCCTTAGTTAATTTACTAGGTAGTGCAGTAAGTAGCATTTCAAGCCTCTGTGCCTCAGTAGAAGCTGCCATTCGTGTGCTTTCTGCAAGGAAAAAGGTTTCAAGAGCAGAAGGAAACTTTAAAAAAAGAAATGTACTCCTATACGCCAAGAGGGTATAGGATTCTCTGGCATTGTTCTGGGCTCAACCCACTTAGTAATGCGTTCAGAAAAAAAAAAATAAGGATCACAGGCTTTGAGGAATATTTTTTTAAAAGGTATAGTTTTTAATTAATAAAACTCGTTATAGTGAAGTTAGATTTCTTGCCTTGAAAGGAGAGAATAACAGAATGTGTTTGCTCCAAAATAAACCCAAAACTGTTAGGTATTTTTTTTTATGAGCACACACATAAGGGAATATTCCCCCCCCGCCCCCCCCCCGCTGAACTTTCATACTTTTGTGTCTTATCTAAAATTCTTCAGTGGATACAACTAAAGGTAGAATTTACCCAGTGAGCTTAAAGTTTTCACTTTTATATTTATTGAGTCATGAGAGGGGTTTTGCAGACTTGCCTGACTTCTTGCAAAAAATCCTAAGTGCACCTTCCAAGGAAAGCAAAAATTATTTTTAAATACGCCAGCCGAGTTTTTAATGGTGCTGGATAATTTTTTTTTTTCAACTGCTGCAGTTATTTCTATATATAGTATAAGGATGTGAAAAGTCATTCATTCCTAATGTGTTTAAATATGCTCCATAATGAGTGTTGTGGATGTGAAAGATAAGCAGCCTGGAGCTTTCTCTTGCGAGGTATAGGGTAACAGAAAGCATCAAAGTTTTGCTGCCCTCAGGACACACACTGAAGTAGTTAAAGTAGTGAGATAAACGAAATACATTAAGATATTCATCTGCAAAATCTAAAGCTCAAGGACACAATAAGTTTTCATTTAAGTGTTTCTCATTTGCTGACAATGAGCCAAATAAATCTTAATTCCACATTGTAGATGGTGACAGAATTTCAGACACTTTCCCTGGGATGAGCATCTGCTTTGTTTCCCAAATCTTTCTGATATGTGTTGGGTTTCTAATCTGAATTAGCTGCCTGCGGTTATTTAAGAAAACAATTTCTTTTTCTCCAGATTTGCTATTTAAGAACACTTTTGTTTGGTCTCCTGAAATAACGTGTAGTCTGAGTCCTCACTGCATTTCTTCTTACAGGTGCTGGATTTGGATTAGGAATTGTTTTCTCAGTCATCTTCTTCAAAAGTAAGTATACTGCAGTAATCTTGACTGCCTGGTTTCCAAATTTCTGACCGTTGTAGGTACAGTTTAAAACCAAAGCATGTAAAACGTAATCAGCGTGTTAGACCAATTCTTTCATTATTGGTCACATCTTTTCAGTGGAAATGGAGTTACCTAAACTTTCACCTGTTGTATAACAAGGCTGTGACACGTGGCATCTCGAAACTCCTACTGTGCTCAGCTCAGATTCTGGAATTGCAAGAAACCCTGAGCCAAATTACTGGAGCCCTGTGTCTAGACATCAGTTTATGCCAGGGTTTTAAAACTGATCTAAATTCTTTTTAGTTACGCTTTGGTAACAGAATCGTTGCGGTAAGATCTTGAATTTAGAGAACTCTAAATACAATGTCTTACTCACTGTTGGTCTTGCTGTTCTTCTGAAATGGTCTAGTTTTTAGTTGATTTAAGGACCCATGGAAATTGGAAATGCCTAATATGCATCTTAGGGTAATTTATTCTTTCTTGGTGCTTGTTTAACAATGTTGTCAGCATCAGGTGAAATGAACAGCTTTGCTTGACTTTAACTTTTTCTCTCTGCTTGACCTTCCCCACAGGAAAGACATGGCCGATCGCTTTTGGGTCAGGGATGGGGTTAGGAATGGCTTATTCCAATTGTCAACATGACTTCCAGTCTCCGTATCTTCTCCATGGTAAATTTGTAAAAGTAAGTATCCGTACTACTTACTGTTAATTGATAACTGTTTATGAGCTAGCAGTGAGCCGTATGTCTAGGCACCACTTCCATGGATACTCCTCTGCCTTTCCCAAGGGAGCACTAGTAAGAAGAAAACTGCTGTGTTGCCGAAGTGGGGGGTTGTCCCCCTGCTCTTTAGAAGGTTTTAGTATCTGGTGTGTTTAGCAGTAAACTGACTAGAGTGAATACGTAGAATTAGGTAGATCTACCTGTGGAAGCAGATCTTTGATCTTCTGGGGATGTGAGGGGTCTTTACCAACATGAAAATACTAATTGCTTCTAAGTTTTGTACCTTGTTTGACTGCACAGTCATGTAATCATTAGTCTGAAGAAATTGTGTACTTGAAATAGTTTTGAAGAGGATATTTTAAATGAGTTGAGTATTATCACTGACTATGCTGAGATAAAATATTTTAAGAGAGATTAATTAACAGGAACCATTTGCTCACAAACTGCCTACAGTGCACTAAGTCCACAAACTGACTCCATTAATATTTTCTGTATTTCTTCACATGTAAAAGTTGGGGCTGTTCTGGTAATTTATCATCGTGGCATCCGGGAAAAAAAAAAAAAAACAACACCCCAAAAGGGGAGCGTGCGTGCGTATTTCAGATCCACAAAGCCACGTACTGCTAAAAGATTTCACTGGTGCCAGTGGAGAGGCATCCACCAGGACATATTTACAGTTATTTTAGCACTTCAGAAAGTCCTGAGGTAAAATGTTCTGCCAGGATGCTTTTTGTGGCAAGCACACAGAATGCCAAAACTGCCCCTACATTGCTCGTCTGCCTCACGAGGGAGGCCTGAAGGTGTTTAGACTTCTTTGATTTACTGGCAGATGAGCTTTTGCCAGTCTTCTGCAGCTCTGCCATAGGTATCTGGTGACAAATACTATCTTCAGCTGCCCCTAAAGAGAGGGAAATGATGCTAAGATTCTTACAACTTCAGAATAAAACATTTTGGTAGCAGTATAGACAAACTCGGCGCGTGACTCTTATGGTTTGTTAATATCAGAACATGTTGGCTTTCCACACCATCCTGAGGGTATTCCTCCAATTCATGTCTCCAGAAAGAAACCGGAATGACATGTGTGTGGCCTCGTGTGAATGGTAAATGCCCTGCTCACACGTTGTGAGAAAGCATTTTTCATTCAGGGATGCTGGGCAAAGGAAAACTGACTTTCAGGTCAGCCTAAAGGATTTTGTTTGGACTGAGGACTAATCTCTGCTCTGGAGCAAGGGTGGTCCTCCCAAGCATGAGGTAATTGAAAGGACACTTGACAGAAGAAGCGCAGCTGCCTGCATGGCACAAGACTAGACAAATAGTTTCCAGTGCACTGTCTCCACTAGCTTTCTCTGGCACAAAGCAGCGGAACATGCTGAGGGAGGGAAGACACGGATGAAGCCATCTAATGGTTAATGCCGTTAATTCTCTCCAAAATGTCGTGTCATGGATTATTACAGGGTTATTACAACAAAAATTATTTCATTTCTGTTGGTTAGGAGCATGGAAAATATTGTTGCATTATCACTCATCTGTTTTTCTCCTAGAAAATAGGGTTGTAACTAAAGTCTGTAGGACTCCTTTACAGAACTGAGCTTCTGTTGAAATGCGGACTTGTCAAAACGTGAGATTCTGCAAGAAAATCAGCTTTACTAAGAGAGAGGGAGAAACATAACACAGGTTAGCTTGAAGAAAATTATTTCTAGTTTTCCAAACCTGTCAAGTTTGTACGATCACAGGATAACTCAAGTTGGAAAGGACTTCAAGGAGGTCATGTAGTCCGACCTCAAACCGGGGTCATCTGTGAGGTCAGGCCAGGTTACGTGGGGCTTTATCCAGTCTGGATTCTTGATTCTTCAGGATTGAGTTCTTAATTCTGAGTCCTAAGTGAGAATGAGAGAGGACAGAGGAGCCTCCTGATCCCAAATAATCAGGAGATCACAAAGCAACTTTGCAGCTAACTCGGATCACGCTGCCCATCCTCTGAGTCAGTGAGCTGATCACGAAACACTGCGACCGATGCAAGAGCCGTTCACCTAGGCCAGGAGACTGCTTAAAATGCAGAGAATTCCAATTTGTGGTCATGGGAGTGAGGGCTTTTTACGTAACCTGATCAAGTGGGTGTCGCTGTGACTTCAGCTGAATTCAAAATCAACATCTAGCAATGATTTTGAGGCTTAAAACAGCACGGCTGTAAATAACATGGCCTAAGGTTGGCCTGCAAAATAGGAAGTCTTGTATTTTTCAGGTTATTTAGCCTGGATTGTTTACCACCCCCACAAGCGCTACCCTGTGCTTTGATTGCAATGCGGGTTATACTGATGTGCAACAATAGGAGAAGTTTGGCAAGTGGAGCCTTTCCTCCTGCCCTCTGTGGCTGTGCTTTCTATCTGCTTTCTAGTCAGCCTGCAAATAGTTAACGTGAACAATAACTGGGGGCTTTTTGGAAGTATCCATTTTATCAGAATGGAGGCTGTTATGCATGAAAACGTGGCATGCCTCTGGTATGAAAATAGCTGCTTACCTTCTCCATACTCAGCTTCTCGGTGTAGCAAGGATGAAAATGTTAGCCTACCTCCTGGAAATGTTACAAAGCTAAATGCCTCGCTCTGCATCGTGCAGCACCTTCCACGTCAGGAACCCAAATGGCTTTTTAATAATACAAGCCTTCTTGCTTTACAGGAACAGTGACTAATGACTAAGACTATCCCAGTGGGAAGGAAGGAGAAATCAATGATTATTCCTCAGGAATACTGAAGTGCCCCTGGAATAAGCCAACATTCTTCAGTAACGATCACCAGTAACTCTTTATACTCCAACAAACTGTTTCTGTACATGAAACAAAAGTTCTGTTGCTTGTTTTGTATCGTGTCTGGAAAGTGCAAGGAGGAGCTCTTCTGGGAAATAAATAAAAGACAAATGGCCTTCTCTGGTGTGTTGACTTTGTATGTGAGTGAGAGAGAATGGAAGGAGAGGACTTCATTCTGAGTACCTAGCAGCTGTGACCACCTGGGTAAAAGCCACTGAGAGAGCTCTTCGGAAAAGACAGCCGTCGTATGTTCCACTCCACTCTGGAAAGGCAACCCCCATCTACCGTACTGTTCAAAGAAGCATTCCCACCTCATAAATCACCCACTAGACCCCTGCGGCTTGTGCCGGTGTTTGGACAGGAATATAAATACTCCTGTGTCCTGTTTGTACAGTTGCCCTTTAGAACTGGAGTTTTGTCCTCTCCGAAGAGGCAGAATCCAGAAGGGCAGAGCTGAACCGTGTGAGCGATGCCGCTAGCCAGTGCTGGCTCTTGGACCTTTGAGTCACGGAGTGACCAACGTTTGAAGCTTCCTCGGTACAGCGGGTGAATTAAACGGATGCACAGACTGTCTGGCTCTGAGCTTACCTTTTAGGTTGATTGCTTTTTTGTGGGAGAACATAGAGGTTTCGGTGCCTGGGAATGGGTCATAAATACTTAAAGCTCCTTATTACCATGGCAAGTTGCTGGTCCCAGTACTCCCTTCTACTACACATTTACTCCAGCCCTTGCAATTACTAGTTGGTATGTTGTCTACTGCTCCTCTTGTGACTCGAGAGGTCATCTTCACTTCTTTGCTCAGCACTGTTTTCTAGCTATCGGGATGGCTCCTAAGGGCCTCTCTTCTTCCTCCCATGCTTGCTGCATATTATCCGTATAGCACAGGCTGTAACTGCGTGTCTCCCAAGACAGAAAGGGAACGGTATAGATTGTTACGGAGCTTTGCATTACTGAAAGCCTCTTCTGCTGCTGGTGAGCACTGGCAGATGCCAGAGTGACAAAAAATTTCCTCTCCAGAAAGGAAAACCCAACGGAAAACAAGTTGTACAACCTTTGTTTTTTTAACCCATGCCAAAAAAAGGAAGGGGATGGACTGCGGGGCAGTCTTCCGAGTTGAGAGAGCTTGAGAAACTCATCTTCCTGAGCAGTGGGACTGAGATTTGGTCTGGGTGCTACACCCGTCCTGCACTCGCCCACCCCCTCTGGGCACTCCTGTGTGGATCCTGCATGCTGAAGAAACATGTTGAGCTGTGCCCAGAGTCAACAGAAGCTGAAGAGCTTGCCTAGAGCAATGGACTTGTGAAATAAAATAGCTTTAATGCCAGGGCAGCATTCAAGGCTGTCAAAGCATGATACCGTCCAGGACCATTGCTTGAGCATGTCCTTGTTTTTCCACCTCCTCCCTTGCCGGACTGCATTCATCAGTCAGGTCAAAACAGCTTATTGGGAACAGGATCTCTTTCTTTCTTCCCAATTTTGAATCATTTTATCTGGCCCCAATTTTTAATTTGAGCTGTGTGTTTTGGAGCCATAGCTCATCTGTGGTTTGGAAAGTGTTTTTATTGAGTCTTCTGCGTGTGTGCTGCGACGCTAGCGGGCTGCGAAGCCAGTGGGTAAGCCTGGGTGAGAAGCAGGAGCGGTAGCAACGCTCTGAAGATAAGGACTGTCAGCATGTGGAAGCAGCTTTAGCTAGCGCTGTGTCATTTGGGCCATGATGGTGGGTTCTATTTTATTCACTGTCCCTGAGAATGAGTTGTCCTGCTCCGATATGCTCTGCTTTAGTTCACATGTGACTTCCTAGGGCTCATTTTTACTTGATGTCATCTTACTGTGACCCGTGATGGAGCTGTTCTGGCCCCGGAACTCGGGCGGTACCCCTGTAGATGTCTGCTCACCTTGTGTCACTTACTGCAAGAGTGAGAATAATGGGAACAAATGTTCTTGCTCGTTACTACAAAATTCACTCGGGTGACTGTGGAAAAATTGCACCATTTTACTCTAAAAGTGGGATGTACATTTTGTCATTGCACTTTAAATGGGGTAAGAACTTCACGGTTTTGGTTTTCACAGCTGTCTTTGCTTGTTGTTTGTTGCATATATAACTGGCACATAATTGGCCTGTGTTTGTTTTGGTTTAATTAAAGGTGTGTTACTCAAAACCTATTTTTGAACCTGTCGGTGTGAGCTGTGCAAAACACCTCCTTGTGGGGACAAGCCTCCTGTTTCCCTCCATGGGAATGAGACCATACTCTTCCCAACTGAGGTTGGAATAGGAATGGTTTCCTGCTGCTTGATTTCTAATTACATAAATGGAAGGGGGAAAAGTGGAAATTCTAAGTACCAAAAGGCATGTTAAATTTAGTGTAATGCACTCATCTGGAAACGATCACAGTTTTCCTTCTTTCTTACGCCTGCTGAAATCATTGCTTCGTCTAACTGCAGCGTGATTTGGATCGGTACCAAGGAGTGCAAACAAGATAGGCCGACAAAAGTCAGGTGTCCCTACCCGAAACGTAAGGAGACCTTTCAGTGGAGGAGTTACTCTATCACCCTGATGCAATTTGAATAGGAAAATGGTGGCTGTACAGCGAGTAAAGAATCCATACCACTGTCTTGGAGAAAAAGAAGCTGTTTGCTGAACAGAACTGGGTTTGAAGCTTTAACAGTCCCCTAAGTGCTTGACTGGCCACAAATCTGACTCCTAACAGCTTGATTAGATGTCTGCCGAGGCTTTGAGATGAATAAACAAGTCACGGAAAAGCAGAGACCGCAGGAAAAAAAAATATCAAGCTGCTTTTCTGTTGTTTATATGAGTTCTTCATGTTTGATGAAGATACCGTCATTTCTTTGTATTTCAGTCGTGCCTAGGAGCCTCTGCCAAGATCAGGACCTTGCTGTATGTGGTGCTGTACACACAAATAAAAACCAGCCTCTGCCCTGGAGAGTTTACAAACTAAACAGATGGGATTAAGGGAGGTAGGAAGGTTTGTAATTCCCGTTTTAAAGATGGGAGAAGCTGTAGGCAAGGTCAGTGGTAAGTCCCGGAGGGAATGTGGCATGCAGCTGAGACTCTGAGCCTGGAGCCATTGACTCCATCAGCCGTCCGTTCCGACTGTTCTGTTCCTTGGCAGGTCTTGGAGCCTCAGGGGAAGGCTGCCCACTTCACAGCCTGGGAGACTCCAGAGGGCTACGTTCTGCAACCATTGCTGTCCTCAGATTGCCCCAAAGTCTTGAGGGCAAGTCTCTGCTAAGCTAGGAATTCTGTTTTATTGTCCAGCGGGTGGTTGCTTACAGGATCACTAATAGGTGTGACCCACTGAGATCCTCAGTATCAACCCCAACATCAGAAGGATATAGACCGGTTGGAGTGAGTCCAGAGGAGGCCACGATGATGCTCCGAGGGCTGGAGCCCCCCTGCCATGGGGACAGGCTGGAGAGTTGGGGTGTTCAACCTGGAGAAGGGAAGGCTCCGGGGAGACCTTATAGCACCTTCCAGTGCCTGGGGGGGCTACAAGGAAGCTGGGGGGGACTTTTTACAAGGGCAGGGAGTGACAGGACAAGGGGTAACGGGTTTAAATTGAAAGTGGGGAGGTTTAGGTTAGATAACAGGAAGAAGTTCTTCCCGCAGAGGTTGGTGAGGCACTGGGACAGGCTGCCCAGAGAAGCTGTGGATGCCCCATCCCTGGAAGTGTCCAAGGCCAGGCTGGATGAGGCTTGGAGCAACCTGGTCTAGTGGAAGGTGTCCCTGCCCATGGCAGGGGGGTTGGAACTGGGTGATCTTCATGGTCCCTTCCAACCCAAACCATTCTGTGACTTTGGAGTAAGTTGGAATCTGATAAGGAGAGAAAATACTGAAATGTGTTATCAGTTTTCTGTGCCGCAGGGACCGGGACACCGCTGTGTGAGGTGTGACGTAAGCATCATACCAGCAGATAGTCACTGCCTCAGTCGATCCACCTTGAACACGAGCTTAGGTGTAACAGATCGAGATAGAGGGAGGATGTCAAGGAGACCAAAAAACAGCAGGGTTTACAGCAGTGATGGCGTAACTCAGCTCTTCCAGAGGGTTCACCCAAGATGATTCTCCAAAGGAGGAGAAATGGGTTTTCCAGATATTTTATTGGGTTCCCTCCGAGTCTGTGGAGCAGTGCCAAAGAGATCACTAAGGTGCGTGTTTGCAAGTGCAGGCAGTGGGCGCAGGAGTGGGCAGAAGGAGGTGGTGGGGGTTGCGGTGGTGATCTACCACGAGGTACAGCTCTCGTGCCTTAGCTAGCAGGGAGGGGCTATGGCAGAGCCAGGGAAGACGGGATCGGTGACCTGCTCGGAAAAACACATCTTTCAGCAGTGCTGTGAGTCAGCGAGGCACTGCTGACCCTTCCTTTGCTCCCAGCTGGCTGGGTTCTGTAGCTTCTCTCCCCCTACCACACACATCCCGACAGTCAGAAATAAACTTTTTCCTCCTCTCCCACCCCACCCTTGGCTTTGTAAATGGGACTGGCGCAAATTTTGGCACGCCAGCTCTGGTAGGCAGCTGCATGCAACGCGTACCGTCTCTTAACGGCTCCGAGAGTCCGGCCTGTAGCCCACCCACAGTGAAATGCT